GCATCTGGAACTTTCCCCTTCCCCCATCAATTTTTTTGGTTTAATACCCAATTTGGTCCCTAAACTTTCATTTCGAAACTTAGTTCATCATTTAACTTCAGAAGGGACCTAAACCATCCTTAAACTTTATTTTTTTAGAACCCAAATGGTCATTCCGTCACAGAAGTGCCCAGCTGGCCCGTTAACTTGCCACGAATTAATACTTTTATTTTAGAAAAATTACGTGGAAAAAAATGATGATTTTGTAATTTCAATTTCTCGAAATACAACATCAATGCCGGCGGCCAAAATCTCCTTAGCCATCTCCGTCAATTGAGAGAAAACCATGGCAGTAGAGATTGGCAAGCTGAGCGCAATTAGGACCATCATCCCCAACGTGACACTGGGGCGAGTGTTCATCAACTACGACTACAACACTCCCATGCTCTCGCAAATCATCGAATCGTAGCTTGTATAGACACGTTTCTCCCAATCCATCCAGTCCGCAGGCAGCTCGTAGTTTCCTCTCGATCATTTTCATCTCATGAATCCTTTTCTGAAGAACGATCATGCTTTCATCAACGATCTACCTACTTGAGTCTCGACCACGCGCCTCTTTCTTCGCCGCAAATATCTTCGTTAAGATCGTTTAAAGCCGAATCCGGCATCTGCATAAAATAATTACATAAATGAATTCTAGAATCGTTTGGTTTTATAAGTTGGGGATTCAACCAAATCAGGAGAATAACTCCTTTGCAAGCTGCTATACTCATTGTAAAGGGACAAAAAAAGCTAAAATCGGCTAAGATCTCAGTCGATAGAAGTGCCAATTCGACTCCATTTTCGCTGCATCAGCTCCACACAACTTCAAACAAAAATGCAACAAAAATATTGAGGAATTAAGCCAACCTAGGGCATACTACTAATAAGTTCATTTTCCTTTCTAGTTTCCACAGTTTCTTAGCAACCAAACACAAATTTCCATCGCAATCCTCAAGTAAAAAACAAAATCTACTTTTCTATCAAAGGATTTAAGTGTATAAAGCCACAAAAAAATCGCTCACCGATGCCAAGTTGAAAGAGAGTGAGTCTTTGAGAAAGATTGTTACTGTTGGAGGCACTGGTATCGTCGCCATTGATGAGAACAAAAGAGAAGTTCGGAGACGGCGACCGCATTGAAGGTTTGCAAACTGAAAGACAACGCATCGAAGAAGAAGACGGTGCAACTAGGAGTGTTGTTCTCAGCATTTTCTCTTATCTTCTTCACCCCAATCCCAATATGGGTTCTAAACCCCAACTAGAAAAGAAAAGGAAAAAGAAAAAGAAAAAAAAAAAGGGAAAGAAAAGGGAAATGAGGAAGGAGGAAATAGGAGGGTGGAGAGTAGAGAGAAAAATGAGAAAGGGAAAGAATGATGCCGCTGGATTGGTGTTGATGTCGGTGCTGGAGAACAGGGAAATAACAAAAATGGTAGGGAGGGATGGGGGTTGAAGATAAGGGGAGGATTAATATTTTAATTGTATATTTTTTCTATTAAATTTATTAAAATGATTAAATCATTATTTTCTTTTCCACCTAATTTTTTTGAAATAAAAGTATTAATTCTTGGCACGTTAACATGCCAACTAGGCACTTCTGTGATGGAAGGACCATTTGGGTTCTAAAAAAATAAAGTTTAAGGATGGTTTGGGTCCCTTCTGAAGTTAAAGGATGAACTAAGTTTCGAAATGAAAGTTTAGGGACTAAGTTGGGTATTAAACCAATTTTTTTCATTTTTCTTCTCTCTCCTGAACCAGCCTTGCACCAGCCCGCGCCCAACGCCCCCACACACTGCGCCCGCGCCTCGCACCCGTGTCCGTGCCTTTGCACTGCGCCAGCACCCCTGCTCCCCTGCACCGAACCTGCGCCCCTGCCCTGCACTGAGCCTACGCCCCTGCTTGTTGCGCCTGAACGCTTCTACTGCTGCACTCTGCGCCCAGTCCCTACTACAGCGCCTGCACTTTCCCCTTTGCGCCCCTACGCCCCTGTTGCACCGAGCTTGCGCCCTAATGACGCCTAGATTCCCTTGCTCTGCGCCCCCTGCTGTGTTGACCCTGTTGCTACGCCTTTGTCCCTGTAGCCAACTGAGCATGAGACAAACCCACACCATGTCCTTGCCTTGCCTACAGGATGACATCACGCTCCAGCTTTCTTGGCTGTTCTGCAGGGCCAGTTTTGGCCTCGCCCGATCAACGATGGAAGAAAAAAAGAAGAAAAATCGAAGAGTTTGGATGAGGAGAGAAGAGGGAGTTTAGGGTTTTGTTTGATTTTGTATAAATAGGAAGAACTGGTGAATTGGTTAGGGGGTTCTCTTTTGGTTGGGGGTTCTCTTTTGGAGGGTTTTTTTTCTTTTCAGGAGAAGTTCTCTTGGTCTGAGTTTGGGGTGCTGCTGGAAACAACAGTTAGAAGAGGAGGATCGTTAAGCTTCCAAAATTCACCGAAGGACATTGTGCATTTTCTGGGTTTCTATTGTCTTAGGTAAATTGTTGGAACTGAGAGGATTCGGGAGGGGTGGTGAAGGTGATGAACAGAGCTTGATCCCGTGGGTGGGATCCCTCTGTTTGGATCTTGATCCGTTCTTTTCCTGAATTCTCCGCTATAGATTTTATACTTTCTTCCTTTGATGTTTTGTGTTGTTTAGTGATTGAAATGTTGAAATTTATGTGTATCTGTTGAGAAATGAATGGTAGATTTACTAGTATGAAATGAATATTTGCTATGTTTGAAATGGAATGCATGTTTTCTGCAAAATTTTTTAGATGAACCCTAGTTTCCTCATGTCGTTTGCATGTTTAATCTTCTTTTGTTCATTTTCATGCTTGGATTGTGTTTCTGGATTGGGTCAACCCGACCCAGTCCAGTAAAAAAAAAAAAACTAAAACAAAAAAGTAAAAAAAATTATATAAAGGATTAATTAATTAGGATAATTAATTTAGTTTATGATTAATAAAATTAATTAATTTTAATTAAAATAAATTAATCATTTTTATTGATCTTAATTTAAGATAATTATATTATTTAATTATCTTGATTAAAAAG